AAAAACTGGCAATTTTTCTTGGGAATATTATAGAAAGTTGGAAGTTGGTAGAAAGTTTGGGAAAAAAGAAGGTAAGGTGTGAGAGGGGGAAATCGAGAGAGGTGAGAGGCTGCCATGTCAGCACACCATTTCTGCCAATTACGATGGTGTACCCTTATTCTAAGGTTGGCTAGATGAGGGACTTCCAGCCTAACGCCAAAGGTAGAAGGAAGGTAAACAAAGTCTTTCAGCGCACCAGGCTTAATGCTCTTCTCGACTAGAAGCAGCGCTTTTTAGCCAACAAGCCTCCCTCTAAGACATCCGTGTGTAATCTTGCTCAGAAACATGAAAATACCCGGTGAATGGGTTGCTAATGCAGAAAAAGAAGAAGAAACGGTCGCAAATGCACCAATTACAATCCTGTTGGTCCCAAGCAATACATTAGCTTACGGCCTAGAGACACAGATGATGGAGATCCGCGCCCCTATAGAGCGATGGTGGAAAAATATGATAACGGTGGAAATCATAAGCGATTGGCTGGAGACGATAAAGCGTGGCAAAGCCGTGCCGCTGATATCAAGATATTCCGAGCCACGAAAGTGAAATATCCTCTGCGGTCGAGACCGCACCACCTGGTCCATTTGAGCTGCGTTCATACTTTGCGGCAACGCCCACCAGTGACCATCAGGGTTTTGAGCGTCCGTCAGCGTCAGCGACTAGGAAAGTATAGATATCGATTTAGCGACCGTCAGCGTCTACCAACGTCCACCAGCGAACACCACCGACCAGGAGTACGGTATTGTGTGTAGTATGGTGCTGTTGCACACTCCACAATTTCACGACGCCTAATCCGGTTGTCTCCTCCCTCCTACTTCCCCATACTCTACCAGCGGTGGTCGCCGCGGGCGCTGGTGGTCGCTAGTAGACACTGCCGTTCGCTGATGGTCCTAGTCGCGGACGCTCGGAGCGCTGTTAGTCGCTGGTGGACGCTGACGCAAAGTATGCACGCAGCCCCAAGGGCTTCTGCACGTTGAAATTGCGGGCACTGTTCAAAAATTAGCGCATGCCATATGCTATCTGGCACGTTAAAGACGTCTCAAGACACGTCATTACCGTGTTCTGTGACGTCAGTGACGAGTTCATCCATCCCATAACTGCGCTGTGCTACCTATACTAGATCAGCTTTCTTCCAACTGATCACAATAGCAGAGAACATTACTCTCTTGCTGATGCCATTGAGCTGAGGGGTGATGGATAACGCAATCGCCCGGTAAGTGGGAGATGGGTTTGAGTCCCGTCCCGGGTCCGACTCTCATCTCAGCATTCTTGTGAGAACTTTCAGAGCGCGCACTGCGGTGTTGAACAGCAGATACCAAACTAAGACTCTCACACTTACCTTCTTCAATCTCATATCTGTGATATACCATGTCAATCCAAACATAGTTTCTTTTCCACTGCGGATGTTGTGCCGCGTCTACGGCTGGGTCTGACGCGGCGCCAGCCCGTTCTCCACCAATTGCTGAAGCGTGTGAGCGACAACAATTGGTGGAAAAAGGGCTGCCGCGCTTTAACCACCGCCGTCCTGAAACGCCCTGGCCTGTATACCCATGGATATGCTTTCTTGTCACAGGTGCAGAAGCGTTTTTTTTTCTAGGAAAGGATATATGCACGGATCCCAGGATGCAGGAGTAATGTGGAGTCAGATGAATCCGCGAGCAAGGCAGGAACAGTTTCTGACGAATGAATTCCCTCAAGGTGAGTTTTTCTGGATGTCAAATCTCTCTTTCATAATGTTTATCCTTATGATTTTAGATTTTACATTTGATACTATGAGTAATTTAATGTATAGAATATTTATTCTTGGTCGCTCATCGAAAGGCAGCAGGTCAGTCGTTCTCCTCAAATGAATCAATCACGGCAGAAAATCTCAACAAGGTCGTCTACGCATTACCCATATCCGCCAGAAATGAGGGAATGTTCCGTTCTGAGACACAAAAAATGCAGTATATTTAATTGCATATCCCGTATGGTATGGCACCTTCTAAGAATCCCGCTGACTGCGCCCATCTTTCAAGCTCCGCCCCTCGAAGAATGAGAATACAAAACGAGAATCTTCTAGAGCCGAACCAGGAAGTGTAGGGGAGCACTGTGTGGGCGAAAAGGGCGGAGAAGCAGTACTCGTCGAGCCACCTTGTACCCTCTCCTCTGCAACTACTGCAGCGCCCGCCATTGCGGGAAAAGAGAAGCCACGCTTCACTAACGTTAACTAAAAGCAGTGGGCACGTTTGGTGGAGGCGGGCCGTTGTTACCATTCAGGTCATTGGTAGAAGGGCTGCGAGTCGGCTTGAGGCCCCACCCCACTCGGCCCTTCTACCAATGACATTGCCCACAACTGCTCACTCCCAGTCATCCTGCTCATTACCTCTGAGCAACTTTAGCCTCCAAGTGCAACTAGCGGATCTTTTCATTGACGGAAACAAACTTCTAGCTCTAGGATGCCAGTGTGCAAGCAGTCCTCATCCGGAGGCAAAAAGGCTGCGTTTCTAGGTACGTAGCTGCGAGCACAGTGACGTCGGCTAGGGTTCAGTAGGAGGAGGAGCAGTGACATATGGGTGCTGTCAGGCTTAGTGGAGAAGGGGGCATTTTCGCGGTCTGCTTGTTTTTGCACTATTCACTTTCAACTTACATTTTTACACGGTGTGACCTGTAGACTCTACTCAAACGTAGTCGAAGCATGAAGCTTGTGCTTCTGCATAGTCCCCTTCCCCCTTTTGGCGGACCCACTTCTATTCGTGGTAGTCGAGTGGAAGGGCCTGTCTGTTACCCACTCCCCTCCCCCTGCTAAGCGCCAAAGGTTCAAGGAAAGTGGGGAAGCAGGTGTATAAGATGGTACAGCGTGGTGGTGCGCACTGATCGGCAAGCATAGCATGCAATGCATCCACCAAATCAGAATGCACCAATGTAATCTCCACATCCCTGAGACACGGGAGGCGTGGCTGCGTAGTACATTTGGACACAGCGAAGGATGATCTGATCGTGGGATCTTTCAGTTCGGAACAGCTGTTCACCTCGTGTTTCGGTAGACGAAGAGACGATTCTACTGAAATGAAAACTCCCCATCAAAAGCGCAGCAGTGCCACGCTCATATGAAGTACGTGGCCACGCCTACCCCCTATCAGGGGTTTGGAGTGAATGTATGAGAGAGGAAAGTTGGCACAAGGTTACCCCGTCAGCGAGACTTTTTTACCATAATGTGAACTGTAGACATTGCAGTTTCAGGGCATCTGTTTACCAAGGCGACGTGTAACAGCGTTTTGTCACGTCGTCTGTTGTCTCTCTCAAGCTCGCGATCTCTAGTGCTCCTTACTCCTAACCTCCCATAACAAGCTCCACGAAACGGCGCGATGAAAAAGTGCCTCCAAACTCACGCACCAATCAAATTTTTTTTTCAACTTACACAACAGATCGAAGCTTTGCGAACCATATTAGCTGCTATTTTGTTTTCTTATAATTAAATTACCTTTTCGTTATAGAATTCTTGAAATGAAAGTGTTTATCGATGAGCACGAGAACATGTTTCCATTTATCACAAGTCAAGGTTAGTGACATGACTCATCGGTGCAAGATAGTTGTGGTGAGGGCATTAGCAGAGTATATGCTACGCCTCTTCTTTGACGCTTTCCCTATCTAAGGCTAACGTTGAGGGTGGAGGCCGCTGCTACTTTCAGGCCCCGGTCGCTCAGAAGTGTCCACCTCGATCCTTGAGGCGGATCTGGTGAGCGCTGCAAGTCGGCTCATGGCTGACATTATCGTTGCTAATGACTGACACGGTGCCACGTTAGTTCCAGGATTTCATATAGGGTAGGCAGGAACACTACTGGTGGGTGGCAGAAAGTGTACTGATAAGCCCATAATGCGGATTCGAGCTCAAGCGTTGCCTGATTCATAGCGCCGGTCATAGTTACGTTAGGAATTCGGTTCGAACAGGTCATCCAGAAGATATGACGGGGATATTACTGGTGACAGAAAGGGATAAGAACTGTTAAAGAGCTTGTTGCCTGCCTGTTGCCGCCGTCATTCTTCTTCAAGATGACCAAGATGACAGACGACCAGAATCGCCGCAGTTTCTCGTAAGCTCCTCCACTAGATTTGTGTTCGCTGCAGAACATGTGTTGTGTCAAGGTGGGATGTGTGTGGCGCAGGCGGCGCCAGCCAATTTTTTTTTGTTTTTTTTTCTTTCAGCAAGCGACAAAACCGTGCCATATCGTTCGTACCAGTTCTTTACCACCAACTGTTGTCTCTTGTGAAATACATGCTGCCTGACCTTGCCCCCTCACACGCAGTAAACACAACTGCAAGTTAGCACAATTTGTATTTATGAGTGATACTATTTGCTAATCATTAGCGTACCTGAGGCCGCAATTATACTTTGTAAATGTAATTCATCTTGGCAGAATGCGCGATTTCAGAGAAGGGCTACAAAAAACAGTATACCTATCGATGTTGTTGAAAGGGCGCTGCCCAGCGGAAAAGGGGTCCACTCCTCCCTCTTCAAACTACCTTTGCGCCGATTTTGTAACATTCCTATGAGATTCAAGAGGTGATTTTGCGATTATTACAGTTTTGCATGTGGACCCACTTGTGCATGCTCCAATCCATGGAGTTGAAATAATTGCAACCCACAGTGCTGAATACTTATCTGCTGTCACGTGAGTAAACAACTGGTTTCACATTGTGTAAGGCCAGAGAAGTCCTGAGCTTCAACCTACTATATATAATCTGCTAAGTATGTCTGTGTGTGTGCGTGTGTGTCACGAAATTCACAGCGCCCATCCCAGTATCAATGGAATCTTGGTTAAAGAGTATAGATAGGGTGTGGGACAGGAACATTATCGGTCGGTGATAGGGAGTGACATCAGCCGATAAGATCTGAAGACGTTAGAAGGGGAGGGTCGCCGAGTCCATAGCGCTGGTCACAGCAACAGCGGAACGTTAGTCAAGGTATGATACAGGGTATGGGACAGGAACGTTATTGGTGGGTGACAGAAGTGCTAGCAGCTAGCAATATTTGAGAAGAGGAGCTGGAATGGGAAGGAGGTGGGGACGTCGCGGCGGGTCACAGAGGGTAACAACAGACAGCATTATAGGGGTCGATAAGAACCGCTGCCGTTGTTCTCCAGTCTGACAGAGCCTTCACATAGAAGGCGGCGAGCATTGTACGCGTGTAATGATGCTGAGTGGGGGGAGGAGAGGGGAGGGAGAGGGGTATGTAGTTCGCTTGAGAAAGGAAACTTTAGGAAAATCAAGAAGGAACCGAAAACTCGAATAGTGTGGCACACTCTGTGCGTAATAAGGTAGTATGAAAAATGAACAGGATGAATGAGTAAGAAGATGGTATGGAAAAATGTAACCATTAAGTCTATATATGCCATGTAGTATAGGCTTCATGGGTGAAACAGCTTCCCCTCCTGCAAATATGAGCGTGGACTCGAGAATTCACTCAGTGAATGAACTGAATCATTCTGTTCCCATTATGAAGTGCCCTGGCGAAGCCAGGCCAGCTCGGCGAAGCCGAGCTAAAGAGAAGGAGGAGAGCTCGGCGTCAGCCGGGCGATCCGACTGGGTTATAAACCTCCTTTGCGGTTGATAAATGAAGCCCTTCCAAGTCATTCATCTCACCGGTGACGTTTCGGCTCTTGAGCCCTTCCTCATGTCTACAAATATCACATGCATAGCCTACACCAGTCTAACTATTATACATACATAACAAGAAATTCAGTGAGGAAAACAGTCAACTAACAACTGACCGGCTTCCTGCGGGAGAGGGAGTCTGGATTGGCGTACATCCGGGAGTATGTTGCTAGATGGTCTAAGAATAAGGCGAAAAAGAAGGATACACGGTATTTGACTCACCTCCTCAGCTGTCGTTCTCCTACAGCCAGATTATGGAGCAGTGCTGAGATAGTAGTAGTTTACCCTGCAATTCGTCACGCAAGACCAGTTCTGTCACATGTCTGTATATATCAGTAATTTCACATCATGGTGCAGCAATGATCTCTATTGTTCCCTTATCTCCTCACTGTTATTAGTCTGTGAATTCTTCCTCGGATTACTAGCGCTTCCTTTATTCTCCTCTCCACCGGATCAGTTATGTTCCTGTGAACTGAGCACAGCTTGAGTTCATG